AGAGAGAGAGAGAGAGAGAGAGAGAGAGAGAGAGAGAGAGAGAGAGAGAGAGAGAGAGAGAGAGAGAGAGAGAGAGAGAGAGAGAGAGAGAGAGAGAGAGAGAGAGAGAGAGAGAGAGAGAGAGAGAGAGAGAGAGAGAGAGAGAGAGAGAGAGAGAGAGAGAGAGAGAGAGAGAGAGAGAGAGAGAGAGAGAGAGAGAGAGAGAGAGAGAGAGAGAGAGAGAGAGAGAGAGAGAGAGAGAGAGAGAGAGAGAGAGAGAGAGAGAGAGAGAGAGAGAGAGAGAGAGAGAGAGAAAGAGTGGAGGCCAGAAGCGGTGTGGGACTCTCTGGAATTGGGGGCAGTGGCAGTTTTGAAACACCTGATGTGAGTGCTGGGACTCAAATTCAAATCCTCAAGAAGAGCAGTCTGGTCTCAACTGCTAAATCATCTCTCCAGACCTTTCTTTACTCTTTTTAATAGAATATCTTTATTTATACTCTGACAATTTCATGCATGTAAACAATTCAGTTTGATCATATGTGATAATGCAGTTTGATCATATATAACCCGACTCCCCACAGGAAGTTCCATATCCTACTTCCCACTCCCCTTAGGCACTCCCAACCTATTCTCTTCATGTCCTCTCAACTATTCCCTTCCATCCTGCTAGAATAAAACCTTCACCAACAGAAAGATAGGAACCAGGCATGGTCCTGCACTTCTGCAACCCCAGCATTTGGGAGGCTGAGGTTGGTGGATCGAGACAGACTGGACTACAAGACAGCCTGGAGAGCATAGTGAAAACTTGTCTCAAAAAAACAAACAAACAAACAAACAAACAAACAAACATGCACGTGGTAGTGCATGCCTTTAATCCCAGCATTGGGAGGCAGAGGCGGGCAGATCTCTGTGAGTTCAAGGCCAGCCTGGTCTACATAGTGAGTTCCAGGACAGCTGGGGCTACAGGGAGACCCTGTCTCAAAGAGACCAAAAAAAAAATTCATTAATCAAAATATTTTTAAAAACAGGAAAAATGTTAATAGCTTGGAAGAAGCAATACTGTTAAGTATACTTCTTAGTGATTTACAGACCCAAATTAAATCCCCACACATTCAGTGTTGTACTGTGAATTTAAGATGCTCTAGAGGCCAGGTGCTGAGTCTTGGTCAGCAGTCTCTTATACTGTTAGCAGGTAGAACCCAGTGAAGGTAATGGCGTCATGACAACAACCCAAGGCAGGATGTTGGATGTCATCTCTACTCTTTGCTTTCTGCCTGCAGTGAGGGGAGCAGCACACTCTGTTAGTGCTCCCTGCCATGATGCACTCCTCACCACAGGACCAAAGTGAGGCCCAGGAACTGTGGATTAGATCCTTTGGAAACCATGAGCCAGCATACATCTTTCTCCTTTTAAATGTTTCTCTCAGCTGTTTTGCAGATGTGGCAAGCTGAGTAATGTGTTCAGCCACATGACTTTCAGCACAAGCTTCAATTCAAGACTTTATAGTCTACAACTGGAATTATGGACACTTGTTAGCTGAATTCTGGGTGCTGGAAATCAAGCCAGGTCCTATGCAAGAGCAGTCATTACTCTTAACTGCTGAGCCATCGCTCCAGATCCTGGAGGGACGATCTCATCTGCAAATCATTCAGAGAAACATGGTACATGGAGGCTGACAAAAGGTCTTAAGATCCCACTCTCCAAACTTATAAAGAAATCAACTAAAATGGATGCAGATCTGAGCGTGCTGCACACACCTCGAATCCCAACACTCAGGATGTACAGCCAAGAGAAGCAGGAGCTTAAGACCATTCTCAGCCATGAAGAGTTCAGGACAGCCTAGAAAACAGCATTAAAAGGTTCAAAAGGATCTCCAAAAAAAAAAAAAAAAAAAAAAAAAAGAAAAAAAAAAAAAAAAACGAAAAAATGAGACAAACATGGAAATGTAAGGCCTCTAAGTAGACTGGGGTGTGGGGTTAGCATGTGAGGAAAATGAAGGTGACAAACATGGAAATGTAAGGCCTCTAAGTAGATTGGGGTGTGGGGTTAGCATGTGAGGAAAATGAAGGTGACAAACATGGAAATGTAAGGCCTCTAAGTAGATTGGGGTGTGGGGTTAGCATGTGAGGAAAATGAAGGTGACAAACATGGAAATGTAAGGCCTCTAAGTAGATTGGGGTGTGGGGTTAGCATGTGAGGAAAATGAAGGTGACAAACATGGAAATGTAAGGCCACTAAGTAGACTGGGGTGTGGAGTCAGCACGTGAGGAAAATGAAGGTGACAAACATGGAAATGTAAGACCTCTAAGTAGACTGGGGTGTGTGGGGTTAGCACGTGAGGAAAATGAAGGTGACAGAATTTGTAAGTCTGATAAAGATACAGTGACAGAGCAAAATTCTGTAGTTGGGGGTCCAAGGAACTTGAAACCATCAGTACAGAAGGGGTGTGGGTCTGGATCGCTGGCGCAGCTGTTAAAGGCTCAGGTAAAGCACAGAAAATGTGTAATCAATAGAATATTTGAAATAAATGATGAAAAAGTATTACATTTTTTCACCAAAAGATCAATTTCTTAATATTGAGAACCTCAAATATTTATACAGTGGAAAGCTGACTAACACATTCAGTATTAATGTTAAATAATTCAAAAGCAAATGATCTGATTGAATCTGCTCACATCGCCTCAACAGCCGTTTCTCAAACATGACACTCAAATAGCCCTTCAATATGGAAGCACTGCCTGCTACTCCTCATCATAGAAAAGCCACTCAAAGTCAGGGATCACTGCATAGCAGTCAGAATGGTTCTTACCTACAACACCAAACAAGAAACACTGATAAGTCTCATCAGCTAGTGGTAGGAGTATAAATGCTCACAGCTGCTATGAAATACAGTGCAAGGCTTCCTCCAAAGACTAGACAGTAAGCCAGGAGTGGGTACACAGCTGCACCCTCAGCACTCACCAGCTCAAGGCAGGAGGATCCACAGTTCAAGGCAAGCCTTGAGTATTGGTCAGTTTGAGGCTAGTTTAGGCAATGTGAGAGCCTGTCTCAAATGAAAAAACCAACAAAATATAAACAAAGAACTACTGAATGACACCACTGCTGCCCACATATATCCAAGTAAATGGAATCAGCACTGTGCAGAGAAATCTGCAGTCCTGTCACTGCAGCACTGTACACAAAACCAAGACACAGATCAACATAGGCATTCACTATGGAGAGTACGTAAAGAACACAGGCTACAAGTAATTATAAACACATATGAAACTGCCAAACAAAAAAAATATAAACTATTTGAAAAAATATGGCTGAATGTTATTTATCCATTAAAAACACAAAAAAAATCTACTACCTCACAAGGACAGAAATGTATAGCTTTTGGGGAGGTTGGAACATAACTATTTTTGCTGAGCTAGAAATGACCATCACTACCTTAAAAAGAGCCAGTGCAGTGACCTGGAGGAAAACTTCCCACACAAACACAGCAATAAAATAAACAGATACAGCAAGTTCTTAGGTCTATGATAATGGTAGCGGGTCATGAACACATCCTCAGAAGACTGTCATGAACCCCTCAACAGAGATTCTAATCCAGACCCATTCTTCCTAGGTGTCTGTGCCATAGAGGTAAAAAATGACTAGGATTTGGCTTTTCACTGGTCCAGATGTTGGAGAGTCTCATGTGCTCTCTAAATACCCCAAATACACTTTGGGTCACCAGGGTGAATACATGGAATTGTTCTTCTGACAGTTGACTTCCTCCATAATGAGTGAAAAGATGATTTCTTGTATGGCTGCCCAGAAAAGACACAAGATAAGTGAAAACTGTTAGTCGCAAAGAACAGAATCTTGCACAATTTCATTATTCTTGCAAATTCAAGGTGACCTCAAAGAGGCAGAGAAAACTGTGGTTACCAGAGTGCAGAAAAGGTACAGAGCACAGAGGGATGGAGGGGAAATGGCTAGCAATTATTTGGTACATTTGGAAGAGACACAGAACTTCTTAAATTCTATAGTGCAGTAGTAAAAGTATGGTTGATTAAAAATGAAATAAATACTTCAAACTGCTATTAAAGAGAATTTTCATGTTCCCAACAAAATCAAGTCACGGCCAAGGTGATAGTCATGTCAACTGCTGTCATCTGATGACTGCACATTATCTGAATATAAAGCAAAGCCATACTACTCCCCATTCATATATGACATTGATTTGTACCAGCTAAAATGTTTAACATTTGAGTTAAAAGCTAGCACTGACCTCTATAGATATCAACCAGGAAGGATGTAAGTGCTACTGAGAGTTACAGGGCATCAGACTCGCCCAGAAACACCAGGCTGCTGTAGTTTGTTGGGAGCCAAAAGGCCAGAAGAAAAACATCTTTATGGTCTTGAGAAAAGACAGCTTTATGGTTTCCTGAAAATCTCTATGGCCTTGAGAAAAAACAGCTTTATGGTTTTCTGTAAGTTCTATAAGATAGCACTTAGTTAAAGAATGTAGAAAAACAACTTTGTGACCCAGGCTAAGTCAGCCTTGAGAAATGTTTTATGCTCACCATGACAGTTAGCAGATGTTTCTTTAGGATAAGAAATGTCCCTTGAATAACCCTCCCTAGCTATAGCCTAACAACACCAATTAGCGTCTGCCCAGCACTTTCCTTCTCTTCACCTCCCCCCTCCCAACTACCAGTATATATGCCTGCTACTTTCAATAAAATTTTGAGGCTTGATCAGATCCTTGTCTTGCCTCCATTTCCTCGCATTCCTTGTTTGTTTCATTCCTTCAGGTTATTCTCCTGACCGCCCCAACGTTGAAGCCCTGCGGGCCGGGGCAGTAGTTCTCCAGCATCACATCCCTATAGAGGGTCCTCTGAGCAGCATCCAGCTCCTGCCACTCCTGCCAGGTGAAGTCCACAGCTACATCCTCAAATGACACCAGCCCCTGTAATGGCAAAGTTCTCATCAACCCAAGGCCTCAGCATCTGGAACAATGAAAGTTCACCTTTCTAGGTGTGTGTGTCTTACCAGTGTCATAGAGAAGCTGGAGCCTGGCTTGTGTTCTGGATCATGGAACAAATAAAAACCAATGCAAACATCTTCCCTCTGTGTTAGTGCAGGTTTGCAAGAAAATTTGAGTAAAGTGTTTTCCAAGGAATTACAATAGAAACAGAATTTATAATAATGAAATATGTTTGTAAGTTTTGTTTTCTTAAGAGGGCATCTGTAAACTCATCATATGAAGGTAAGATTATGTTTCTACCACATGAGTAGCAAAATGGAAAGGGAGATGTTAGGGCTGTGGCATAGCACTGTGCTACAGAGTCGACCCAAAGATTTAAGGCTAGGAGCTAATATCCTAGAGAGAATTTCTATCAAGTTTTGCCAACTGCTATCACTGCTGACAGTTCAGTTCACTTGCCCTCCAGGGTAACAGAGGAACATCATCTTCCTCTGGCGGCCTGGCCCAAGAGCTCAGCTCTTCCTGAGCCCACTGCACAGCTGATTCCTGACATAGCCAGGTCCACCACTTCCTACAGGAAGGACTTTGTCCACTCAGAGTGCCTGAAGGAGGGAGGGAGGGAGGGAGGGAAGTAGAGTGCATACAATTAAAGTTGTTATCAGCTTGAAAGATTATTATGAATGCAAAATGTTTTATGTAAGTCCTGTAGAGCCATAAAGAAAGCACCTATAGAGAACACATAGAAGAAAACTAGGAAGGAAGGAAGGAAGGAAGGAAGGAAGGAAAAAGTTTTCAGTGGGTTTGTGATACTCCTATGGACTAAAACCTAGCAGAGATGTAGAGGAAAACAGAGCACATTCCTGTCTACTGTTCAGTATTATTTACTACCTTCTTCCTGTGGCTATTTGACAGCCAGGATTCTAACAAATTTGAACCAAGGACTTAATGCAACAAAAAGCAGACCTCCTCCAGTCTCAGCAAAGCTGTGCGATTGGCCATGTCACAACAATGCCAGATTACAAGTGTCAGAGGGCCATGCCCCTGACAAAGAGGAACTCTGGTGCTCTTTTGTTGATGTGTAAAATTACAGCCAGTTTAGAAAGTACATTGGCCCATCAAAAACTTCAACACAGAACTACCATGTTGTTCTAGTTTCTTTCTCAATTGCTGTGACAAAACACTTTGACCAGTACCAACTTGGGGAGGAGAGGGTTTATTCAGCTTACACCTCCCAGGTCACAGTTCATCAGGGAGCCCAAGGTAGGAACTCGGAGCAGAAACCTGGAGGCAGAAGCTGAAGCACAGGCCATGGAGGAGTGCTGTTTACAACTTGTTCTCGGGGGCCCCTGCTCAGCCTGCTTTCTTATGCAACACAGGCCCACCTGCCCAGGGGTGACACCACCACAGTGAGCTGGGCCCTCCTACATCACTCAACAATCAAGAAGATGCCCCATAGATATGGCCACAGGCCAATCCTATGGAGGAAATTCCCCAATTGAGACTCCCTCAACCCAGGTGTGTCAAATTGACACTAAAGCTATCCAGCACACATGTGATCCAACAATCACCATAGCTGGGAAGAATCCAAAGGAACAGAATCTGAGTGACAAAGGAATGGCTTCACATCCATGCTCCCATGAAGTTATTCAGTGATAATCATGATACAGAAGTAACAGCCATGGTATGGAAATAGTGAAGTGTCTCCTAGATGCAGGGATGGCAGGACATCCTTCCCAGATGCAGGGCATCCAGATGCTCCCCATAGAGCTCCGCATCCTGCTTGAGGCTGCTGTACAGAAAAGAGGACCCAAGGGCTGGTGTTCACTAGACACTCAAAGATCAGAAACATGGCTGCTGTGGGCACCTGGGGCAGGCAGTTCTGACAGCTGAAGTCAGGAAGAGCAGATGTTGGAATGAGGGGACATTGTGGTATAAGGTTTACAAGGGACAAGCTCATCACAAAGGCATCAGATGAAATGTCTGTCTCCAGGGAAGGCACAGGGATTGTTTGGAAGGACTCAAGTCAATCTTCTCAGCTTCCTCTTATGTGATATATTCACAAAAAGAATTCAGTTCTCCAAAAGGCCATTGCTCTCAGACTCTGACAAAAATAAAATTCCAAGATATATATATTTGATATATACCATACATTATGAGGATAGCTAGTTGATTATATTGTGGAAAAGAGATGTTGACGGGTTGAAGAAATAGCTCAATGGATAAGAGCACCTAATGCTCTTGCAGAGGTTCCAGACCCTGGTTCAGTCCCCCACATCCACATGACAGTTCCTAACTGTCTCTACATGCTACAAACTCATACATGCTAGCACACACATACACATAAAATACATACATAGTTTTGCAAAAAGAGATGCCAATAATTGGGAATGCTTACAGGGAGGTGGCATTTGAGGAATTTGTTGAGACACAGCATGCTAGAGCTGCTGGTCAGGGTTCTAGACTTGGGACCTTGTTTCACACATAGCTGGAAAACTCTGGGAAAGCAGGTGAACCATAGGGAAGAGGTGAGGCAGCAGAGGTTAGGCCATCCTGATTCCACATCCTCTATTCTGACACTGGAGGTGAGGCTGCTGTGGAAGCTGGGGCTTTCTTTGGTAGCAGAACAATCTGGAAAAATCAGACAGTTGTAGAGCACGCTGATGCCTGGCTTCCTTTCTCTTCCTTCTCTTTGGTCCCTGATGGGTCCCCAGTCACTGCTATCTCACCTCCCCTAAGTGGGTCCTCAACAGCTGTTCCTCCTGTCCCAGCTTTGGGACATGGGCAGCTCCACACTGCTGAAGCTGGATCTGAGCAACTTCTTGGGGACCTCCTCTCACAGGGACTCTCCTGTATTGCCACTGCTCAGGGCCACCTGCAAATCATTTTATAGTTCCCAAACTTGTGATGCATCTTCCTGTCTCAGTATCCTGAGTAACTGAGATTATAGCCCTGCACCACTATCCCTGGTTTTTAGGTGAGATTTGGACCCAGGTCTGTGCCTCCCTCCTTTGTTTCACCTTAACAAAGCACTGAAGGAGACATCTAGAAAAAGGAGTGAAGGGATGAAGCCTCTGTGCACAGCTGTTCCAAGCACCCTGCATCCCTAGTAAACCATCTAGTTGGCTGGGGCCTAAGCCAGGCGTAGCCTCCATGCAGTTTCAGGGAACAAATGTGTGTGTGTGTGTGTGTGTGTGTGTG